AGCAAATTGGAGCAAGCATCTTCTTCCTTGAGCTTCATAGAGTGGATCTACACGTTTTGGATCAAGCTCAACATCAATTGAAGCACCAACAGAGTGTCTCTGTTAGGTAACTTTCAGATCCATAATTCTCTCATGTTAGAGCTCAAACCTAGGTCATTGTTGGCGCATCTGAAGCCCTTCACCTTGTATGCAATGTTTGCATGGTTAATTGTTGTGCTTGATGAGATTTCTAGTTGAGCATATGAAATTTTCTTCGTTCGAATCCCTCTTGTTATGCATGATAAATGAAAATGGAGGCTGGATTTGGAACCTACGTGACTTGGCGTTCAATTTGATGTAAAATTTTGTAGGATTTGGTTAGGTTTTGAACCCTGAACTCCGGCCACCTCGCCGGAGAAGATGACCGGAGCTAGGGCTCCGTCATCTGGTTCATTTTCAGGCCATCCTACGTGTGTATGGTTTGAATTTTTGACTGGCTTGATGGACGATTAGGATTTGTCTGACTTGCTTGTGTGGCTTTATTGACCAGCCACGTTAATTACTGAAATGGAGCGTTTCACTAATTGAGCTGATTTGTGTTATATTGGGCCTTTGTTGCTATTTACGCCCCTCATTTGATCTGGCCCATTATTTTACACAGGATCCCTTGCTATTTGCCACGCACCTTTTGTTTATTTCTTTTTTTATTTTATTTGATTTTCTGTTTTTATTTAAATCATTTAAAAATTATTCCAATTATGATAAAATTCCACAAAAACTATTTTAGGATACTTTAATGTATTAACTAATTTTTGATATTTTTTATTTTCATTTTTCACTTATTTTTCAATTAAAATAGAATTTTATAATTGGAGTGGTTTTTGAATTGATTTTTTCTTATTCTTGTTTCTTGCTTGCTCTTGAGCCAACTTTTTACCTTCAATGATTGAGACTTTTTCCTCATTTGAATGATGAGTTGAGAGGTCTTAGAGGATGGTTTTGGCCCTGGTTTCGTTTATTTTTGGTTGACTTTGATGCTCATTTTTTTGACCCTCGACAACCCTCCTTTAAAGTGGAACACCCTTAGTGAATTAATTTATTTGGTGGTGCTTTGATTGGACATTGGTTGTGTGCTTTTGGCCTCTGGTTTCCAACATCCTCTTGTGCTTTATGCATTTTATTTGGTTTTATTTGAGCCATTTTCCTATTTTTGGAGTAGCTTGCAAGTGAAGCTACCCCTAAGGGTGGTTCACACAAAGACTTGACCTAGTTTTGATGGGAAATGACCCTTGTGGATCCAAAATGCTTCCAACTCTTTTTGATCCACATTCATAACATGTTGAATTTATTAGATGCCAATTTATAGGTTACAAATTTGTTTGGTTCTTGTACTAAGTTGCATTCTTTTTAGGCTTTCCATTTGGTTTCAAATGTTGAGAGTGTTTAGAACTTAGGTTCTTTGCCATGCCTTTTATTGCAACTTGTGTTGGTTTTATTCTTTCTTGAATTTTCCTATCCTCTTCTCTTGTTCTCACTTCTGTCCTAAGACTTTGGGGACTCATCCAAGTTGATTTGTTGCCTCTTGGTTTCACTTTGAGTTTGACTTGGATGAGAGGCCATTTTGAGAATTTTCTTTTGGTGTGAACTTGCCTAGTTCTTTTTTGTGTGCATTTCTTCTTGGTTTTGCATCATCTTTCTTGCATGCTTGAGGTTGAGATGTGCTTGTGGAGGCTACTGCCCCACACTTTGTTCCTCCCTCCTTTCTTCATCTTTGTTTTGCATTACATGTTTGCATCTTATTTCTTCTTTCATCTTATGTTTCCTTCTTCTTTCTTCTTTGCCATGTTACCTTAGGACTTCTAATCTCTCTTGTTCAAGAGAGATTATGATAGACTTTAGGCTTGAATCTATGTATGATAACATTAGGTAGAATTCCCTTTTCATCCCAATCATAGGTGTACTTTGTATAAGAACATTAGGTTGAGTTTAGTCTCCCTTTTAGTGTGTCTCTCTCTTCTCATCTTCAAACTTCTTCAAGACACTTAATAATGGATAATGAATGTTGTACGCTACGAGCCTTAAGCATTTGGAAAATGATGATTTGGGGGCCTCCTCTCAATTGTCTAGAGTGTTTAGCATATGTATTTTAGACGATATGCGATGCATTCGCTCCTAAGTCATAGTCTTTAGTGCAACATGAGTTGCAAACGAAATTCAATTCACTTCTTTCCTAAAAAACACAAAAACAAACATCAAATATTTTTATCCTTCGGGATTAATTTTGGAAAACCTTTTTCATAAGGAGAGTTTTGTTAACTCTTGGTTCTCCCGCAAACAAGTAACACTTAAGTCTCCAATGGTTGAGCAACATACGCCTAACTGCTAGAACTAAGTTTTAACCCTACTCAGATAAAACACTTGAACCAACTTGTGGTCTTGTTAGCCTGAACTATGTTTACTCTGATTTCTCGTACCAGACGAGGATACGTAGGCACAAGACGGCAATGTCTTGGCGAGCAACCTTCCCCCACCTTCACCTGTAGTTTTCCGAACTACGTTGATTCTGACTTTCCCATTGCACGAGGGATACGTAGGCATAGGGCAGCGATGCTCTATCGAGTCTCTTTTTCTTTTTCTTTTGTCCTTGTGGCCTGTAGCTTAGATAGATAAACACCCTTTAGATAGATAACAAGCGTGGATCCCGTCGAGTACGACGGACGTGAGGGGTGCTAATACATTCCCCTTGCGTAACCGACTCCCGAACCCAAGATTTGATTGCGATGACCTGTCTTTTCCCTTTTTCGTAGGTTTTCTCTGATCGTTTCCTTTCCCTCTCTTTGGGATAAATAAAGAACGGTGGCGACTCTTTTGTCCTTGCCGACCCCTCTTCGCAGCGATGCGACACTCCCTACCAGCAGGTTCCCACACCCTTCATCCAGTCTAGGGGATCTAGTTTTTCAACTCCCCCATAGGTACCATCATCCTTCACACAGTCTGGGAGATCCCACACCACATAGCCCACACAGGTACCCTTACCATCCACACATATACTTAATGCAGTTGGAAGTATAAGTGTTGGCGAACATGCTCGACACATGGTAATTATTACTACTATTTAAAGTTATATTATTTTTAATTAAATTTAGTTTTATTATTAAGGAAAAGAGATTGGGGAGACCCCGACTCATGACGTAGCTAGTTGTAAAAACTGGAACAAAAAATCAGGTCTCTTTATTGACGAACGCACAAAAAAAGCTTTGGTAAATAAGTCGTTTCATTTTATTTAAATTGTTTTTTTATTTTTTTATTTAATGACAATTTTGTGACGTGATTATCATGTGGCAACTGAGATATTATGGCGTGAAAATCACGTGGCAATATTTATCATTTAATTTCTTAAATTGTTTAAGCTATATTTAATATATTTTTTTATTTTATGTGTAGGAGGATTATCAGGTATTGCTCACACAATTTTTAGTAGAGAGTCCTAGTATACTCCAAGAGGTTCCGAGCCGCTTAATCCACGAGTAAATTTTTATATTTGGGGTTTAGTAACTGGAGGAAAAGGACCGAATGAATGTTTATTTGGTGTTGGAGGTTTGGTCGGTGGTATGAGAAAAGGGGACAGAACTTTATTTCAAAGAGTTAGAGATGGTGAAGGAACGTCACATCCACCACAATTGACCACCGAGATGCTAGAAACGGTAAGACAACTGGCGCTAACTGAAGCGAGACGCGAAACAACGCAACGTGAGGCAGCACTAAAGGTCCAAATGGAGGAGCAACAACTTCAGATAGAGGCAACGAAGATTAGGCAAGCTGAAATAGAGGCGATGATGCGCCAATTTATGCAATCACAAGGTGGCGGTAATTCAGTTGTTGGAAATGAAGAAGTTGGTGGTCAACAATAGATGTATGGCGAGGATGACCATGATTTTAACATTGACAATTTTCCCGATCCGAATTGATCCGAAGCATTTATTGTAATTTTGAATTTTTATTTTTGTAAAATATTAATTACATTTTAGTATATTATACACTTTTTATTTAAAAATTTTATTCTTAATTTTGATATGTATTTATATTTATTAATTTTTCAATTTAAATTATTATTGAAAAAAATTGAATATTAAATTTGTATTTTAAAATAATTAAAAAATAAACTATAATTAAAATTTTAAATTATAATTTTCAATTATAATTTTAAATTATAAATAGAAATACAAACTATTTTTAAACGTGTACCAAAAAATTAATTAGTTTTTTAAAAAAAAATGCTAATAATAACTCAGCCACGTGATATTCATGTCGCAATTTGCCACGTGAATATCACGTGGCAAACTTCTTACACACGCCTGCCATCTTCTCTGCTACGTTTGTTGTGACGACAACTCTGATTTATTTGTTGCGACGTGATATGGAATAGTTACGTCGCTAATATCAGTTTGTGACCTGATTTTTCAGGTTGTGAATTGAATTTCTTGTAGTAAAATTTAGTTTTTGTAGTGGCTTTTAGCCTATAGTACTTTAATTAACAAATAACTGCGCAAAAAGTATTATTTCAAGTTTTAAATTGAGAAAGAATTAAATTTGTTTCGTTGAAAATGAACATTTCTTAATGAAACAAAGGAAGGATTCAATCTATAGGGTTCGCTAACCCGTAATCAAGTTCTATCTCGGAAAAAGCATACTTTTTATATATTCCCTAAGTCGTAATTAACGCAAGTAATCATATGGTACTAATCAAGTTTTCCCCCATACCGTGAATGAAAATGGTGTTGTTATGCACTTGCTTTGGAAATAGAGCTATTTGATTACATACAGGATTACAGCTGACAATACATGCATCATGTAAGTTACTACTGCTACTATCTCTTTCCAAGAATCCAAATTATATTCACAAAAAATTGACATTTAATACCCACTAGATGATTTTTCTTATATAAACAAAAGTAGTACAGACTTATGTGCAATGCTCAAAACAACCAACAAATATTCATTCAATAAAAACACTTTCATCTATGGCTGCTACAAGTCAAACAGTGGATTATGTGCCGCTGAAACTTGTGGTGAATGAAGAGACTAACACAGTCATATTTGCTGAGGCAGGGAAGGAATTTGTTGATGTTCTTTGTAGCTTCTTAACATTTCCATTAGGAACTATCACAAGACTTGTTCAAAAAGAGTCAAATTTGGAACCGGTTACAGTTGGTTGTCTCAACAAACTCTACCAAAGTGTGGCAGATCTTGACAAAGAGTGTTTGACAAAAGAGATAATCAAAGAAATGTTACTGAATCCAAGTTACTCATTGGAAGATTATTGCAGCACTCTAAAACTCAACATTGATGACACTGAGCCCTTAAAGTACTACATGTGTACATCCCAAAGTTTATTTCATTGCGATTGCATTGATATGATAAGCACTTCCACAGCATGTATTGAGTGTATGTCCGGTAAGACCCCTATCGTATATTATGTGAAAAAGGAGTGCAATAATGGATTTGTTAAAGATGGTGCAACTTTTATTATTACTGATGATTTAAGGGTCATGCCAAACTCTATGGATATTACAAGCTTTGTGATGCTCCAGAATTTGGGATTAAAGAGCACAAGTTCGCTTAAAGAAATGACAGTCCATGTCACAAAAGGAAAGGTTTTCTATTTTCGTTTTTGTCCTATAGTAGTTTCATTTCTTCTTTAATACTGCTTATTTGCTACAAGCTCCTTTTATTATTAATTTGCTCCATATTTTCATTTTTGATTGATAAGTACTGTATGTTTTATTCAGGTACTGGATCTGCTGAAATGTTCGTTGGTTTCTAATTCTCCTCTCACAGATTTGTTTTTAGGAATGAAACCAATACTTGGATGGTTATCAAGTATTTTTTCTTGTGGTGTTGAAATCACCAATGATATTCAAATCAACAATGATATTCAAATCACAGTGAAGCTTGTTGTAAGAAAAACAGATGGGAAGATATTATATGCTCAAGGGGGTCATGATTTTGCAGACTTCCTTTTAAGTTTTCTCACATTTCCTTTGGGAGGAGTTGTACGAATGTTTGGAGGAAATTGTTCCTTGGGCAGTATTGATGATTTATACGCTAGCATAATTGCTTTGGATGAAAACCTATATTTTATGAAAAAAGAAGCCAAGAAAAGGATTGTGGATCCTCATTTGGCCCCACAATTTGAACTAAGCAAACAGATTTTACCAATTTGTCAGCCGCGTTCTAGGTTTTATTGTCATGACGATTATTATATAACCTGTGAAGATACATATATTTCAAACTTTTTTGGTGAATCAATGGATAAGAAAACAGTTTGGGTTGAAAGACTTGTTGAAGATTACGTTAAGGGGCCTAGAACTTACATTGTCACTGATGACTTGGTTGTAACAGAATGTTCTCCAACTTCTGTTTTACGTTTAATCAAGCGTTTTCGAACTCCTCTTAAAGATTTGAAGGAAAAGGTTATCAACATTGGTGCTAATGAGGTATGAAAGTAATCTCTATGCATATTTATTTCCTTCACTTTTTTATGCTTTCGTGTAATGCCAATTTTTATTTGTCTTTACAGTGTTTGAGCTTATTGAAGGCATCTTTAACCACGACATCAGCTCTAACTAATGGTCTTGGTCATTTGATAACCAAAGTTCAGTAGGTGAAATGAGAAATGTCGACATATGCTGTTTAATCATTTCGTTAGACAGATTATTCTGTATTTTGTTGTTTTCGTATTTCAATTTCAATTATTACATATGTTGATTACTTTTGAATGAAAAGTGAAATTAATGTAACGGACTTGTTCATTTCATTTTCTGTCCTGCAATTTAATGTATTTGGTCGACAATTTAAATTTTGCAAAGGCTAGTTTTTGATTCTTATAATTAGTGGTGAGAATAGGTTAAACTGAATTAAATTTTGCTAAATATAGGTGTGACCTGTTAAAAATTTTAAAGCAAGTCTGCCTATAGTCTATCATAGATTTATTTTTAGGTATGAGTCTAGCTTTTTTGAAAGTTTGTTTGACCTATTAGTCTATATATTACGTATTTGGACATTTGTAAATTAGGAATCACATTAATTTTTAAATAGACTAATGAATTAAAAGATTAATGAGATCAAATATTTATTTACTTTAGATTTTTTTATAGACTCTGGCCTAATCTTTTTAAATAAGTAGACTTGTTTTTTTATTTGAAAAAAAATCTTATATTCGTCTATGTAGATTAAATTGTAGACTTTTTTAATTGGTCTATTCTATTCTCACCCCTAATTAGAACTTAGTAAAATTCTAATACTTTTTTATTTTTATTTTATTTCCTAAACTGAATTCAGTCATAGAATTTTTTAGTGCTGGGAGCGGTTATAATTGTAATGAGGGAAAGGTTGAACTGATGACCTCGTGATGTGTTAGATTCTTGTTATATGCGATGGGGACAAATGCACTCGTTGAGTATGACGAGGAAGTTCTATCGAACTTAAATAGTACATGTTATTGAACGTAGACTACCAAATAAACCAGCAACTATGATTGGCTTGGAACACTTTTTGTTGAGAAAAAAACACAAGAAATAATACTTTTCGATTGAAGAGATCTACTACTAGTCCTAAGTTAATAGGAGATACACGTCTTATAATAAAGTAGTATTGATGATAATTGGAATTTTAGCACTCTAATTCTTTGAAATAAAAGAAAATATTATTAAATATTATATTTAATGGTGTCTCATGATTAAGTTATAATTAATATTTAATCAAAAAATTAAAAAATAATTATATTAAGTAAATATTTTTTAATATTAATAATAAATAATTCTATACGAATATAAAATTCTCATATTTTTTATGCGTAAAAGGTTCTTTTAAAGAGTCATGACATTATTAAGTGTTGACATTATGCATATATTTTCACATCCTCTTTATCTATTATATCTTGAATGGATGACATTGCCTAAATAAATGTTTGAATTGATATTGGGATCTAGTCTTCTTTGTGGCATGACATCGTTGTTATCACCATAGAGTTTAATGTAATTCACATTGTTAGGATTCTGTCTGTGAAGACAAACTTTTAATATGTTTTGAAGAAGACAAGCTTAACAATGATATGATCAAAGAAGAAGAAAAATTGGTTAAGAATTTGATTCACTTGCAAGATTGGATTTTATGATCATGATTTAAAAAATCATTTTTTGATTTAAAATTGTTAAAATATTTTTTCAAAGATCATCTAATGTCTTGATTATATTTCTAGATGATACATGTTTTTGAATCATTTGCATTAGCCATTTTTCAAATTTTCACTTATGACAATCGATTGTCATCTTGATGCAATCGATTGTCATCCTGATGCAATCAATTGTCACAGGATAAATTTTCAAATTTTTACACCTTACACTTGGTGCAACCGATTGTGGTTCTGGTGCAATCGATTGCACTTGTACGTTTTCTTAAAAATGATTTATTTGAATGCACCTTTTTGTTATGGCTTCTGCAAGTACAAATCCAGTTTTCAAAGATGGTGGTAGTAGCAACAAATCCCCACTATTTTCTGGTGAATATTTTTATTTTTGGAAAATTCGCATGCCGGTTCACTTAGAAGCACAAGGGAAAGGAATATGTGAAACCGTCAAAAATGGTCCACATAAATCTTCAAGTGTCGTTAATGGTGTCGGTACTCTAAAGGTTCAAAGCTCTTGGAATGAAGATGATAAGAAGAAAGTCCTTAATGAAAAGAAAGCAATCAACATACTTTAAAGTACACTTAACATGGATGAATTCTTCTGTATCTCTTAATGTAAATCGACAAAGAAAATTTGGGATACATTGGTAGAAGCTCATGAAGGAACTGCTGAAGTAAAAAGATCTAGATTGAATACTTTGAGTCAAGGGTACGAAATGTTTAAAATGCAACCCAGAGAATCTATCATCGCATTATATAAGAGATTTGTACACTTTATAAATCATTTGATTGCTCTTGGTAAGATTTTTACTAACGATGATCTTAATCTTAAAATTCTTAGATCTTTACCCAAGGAATGGCAACCAAAAGTGACGACAATATCGAAAAAGAAAAGTCTTTCTACTATGACGTCCACATCATTATTTGGAAAACTTCAAGAACATGAACTTGAACTTGGAAGACTTGAAAAGCATGAGAATCAAGAGAAGAAATCCAAAGGCATCGCTTTAAAAGTCGAGTTAGAAAAAGAACAAGATGATGATGCTCCGAAAGAAGATGAGAACTTCATGCTTGTGAAAATGCTTGGTAAGTTCTTTGGTAAAAATGATAAATCCTTTAATTATGCAAAAACAAAGAAATATTTCAGGTAAAAAGAGGCTTCCACTTCAACACAAGATGTCACATGCTATGAATGTGGTAAACAAGGTCACATAAAGACGGATTCTCCAAAAATCTCCAAGAAAGGTGGCTTCAAAAGTAACCTTGACGGTCGATCAGAACCTGAAGTAGGTCAGAGACTTTGTCAATAATGCTGAGTTGTAAGGATGAGGAGGGGTGTACCTGTAAGGCACTCTGATGTTAAAGTAAGAATCGGGCAAAGAGAAGGCAAGTACAAAAAGTGTATGTCTTAGGGTGATGTGAAATGAATTATAATACTTGTCCCTCTCAAATGAGAGGGTTTTTATAATTCCCCCAGCGCTTGGCCATTGGTCCTTATTTTTGGGGCGGGATATTCGCTCTCAAAAAATATGTAACTGCCAGAAACTAGGCATTGGGAAGAGTAGAGGCACTCGGAACTAGTCGTTGCCGTGGGCAAGGGCGTCGTGACTGTTTCTGAATGGTGAAACCGTGCGTGACAGTGTCATACCCCAAATTTGTCCTACCCTTTTCAAATTTTCTTGCACTCGACTTTGTTCCCAGTTTGCATCGCCTGCATTGCATAACTTATTTTCCAGCATGAATAACATCTAAAATGTCAGTCAGAATGAATTCTCGAATATACAGACAGACCGATTAAATAGTTTCTCACAAAATACCAAAAAATAGTGGTTGAAAAGTTTCAAATTTAAGCTTGCAGACGTCGGTAATATTGACCCGTTTTTCCGCAAAAGTTTAACTTGACGCACTCGTCTTATTTTTTGACGAATTTTTAGTCGCATTTCGGTCAGTCTGAGCCTTTATATTGGTCTAAATTTATTTCAAAATTTGATAAAACGTTGTATTTTTCTGAGTCAATTATTTCACACTGATCATTTTAGTGCACTTTTTTGTTGTTTTATTTTGCACTTTCATGCCCGACTTTTTATTCATAACCGGTCTTTTTTATTTTTTTTTATATTTTTGTGTAATTAATTAGGGTTATTTGGATATTAGTTTAATTTTATTCGGTAAATTTTACTTTTGTTTTATTTATTATTTATTTCTAAATACTTTCAAAATACCAAAAAAAGATAACATTGGATGCCAAGATATCATAATTTGAAAACATTTTCCAGCTCATGTGATGATCTTACTCCACTCACAAAAACGGTTTGGCCGGTTGTCAATATGCAAAAGGCGTTCTCATATGACAGCTAGCAAATCCTCACCGAAATTCATTTTCTTTTTTCAACGAATCTATTTTATTTTATTCACACTAACAACTAGCATAGTAAAGAACAGAGACTAAAAGGATAAGGAGAGGGCATGTGTATAATTCTCTCTTTCATTATCATTAGTACAAGATACCATGGCCCTATTTCAGAAAGGGGAGGAGGATAGCATTTTCTTTCTGAAAAAGCAGAAAAGCTTTTTGTGGTAATGAAAACTGCCTCCGCTCGCGGTTGTCGCATCGCTGCGAAGAGGGGGGCCGACAATGACAGAAGAGTCGCCACCGTTCGTTATTTATAAAAAAAGTGGGAAAAGAAACGATCATAGAAAACCTAACGAAAACGGGAAAAGACAGGTCATCGCAACGATGTCTCGGGTTCGGGAGTCGGTTACGCAAGGGGAAGGTATTAGCACCCCTCACGCCCGTCGTACTTGACGGGATCCACGCTTTGTTGTTATCTAACAGGGTGTTTACTATCTACGCTACGGCTCAGGGGCAAAAGAAAAGAAAAGAGAATCGATAGAGCATCGCCGATCTATGCCTACGTATTCCCTCGTGCAATGGGAGAGTCAGAATCAACGTAGTTCGGAAAACTACGGGTGAAGGTGGGGGAAGGTTGCTCGCCAAGGCATCGCCATCTTGTGCCTATGTATCCTCATCTGGTATGAGAAATCAGAGCAAACGTAGTTCGGGCTAACAAGAACACCGGTTGGTTCAAAATGTTTTAGGCCCGAGTAGGGTTAAAACTTAGTTCTAGCAGTTAGGTGTATGCAGCTCGACCATTGGAGACTTAGGCGTTACATGTTTGCGGTAGAATCAAGAGTTAACAAAACTCTCCTTATGAAAAAGGTTTTCCAAATTAAGATCCCGAAGGATAAAATGATTTGATGTTTGTTTTGTGTTTTTTTAGAGAAGAAGTGCATTGATTATTGTTTGTAATTCATATTGCACTAAATACTATGACTTAGGAGTGAATGTGTCGCATATCGTCCTAAGGACGTACACTAAACACTCTAAGAAATTGAGAGGAAGCCCCCCAATCACCATTTCCCAAGTACTTAAGGCTCGTAACATACAACAATCCTTAACCTTTATTAAGTTTTTT